AAAAAAATACTAACAGCGCTTCATATAATTCTTCGACCAACAGGGGACTGATAACGGTAGTCATAATAAGCTTTAAGGATGAATATCGTGACGAAGCTTTCACGAAAATGCTTGCTGGCGTTATACACAATCTCTCATACTTGCAACTATATCTGACGCGTTTACAGAGCGAAGGAGTCAAACTGCTAAGTTGGTGTGATGGTCCAAAGGGCGAGAGCTGCTATATTTCTCAAATTGTTGGAAGTTGATAGCACCAGCCAAATGATTATAGAAGCTACGTGAAAGTTGACTGAGCTCTTTTTATGTCTTTCAAGGAATGTTTTCGCTGCTTTACCTATCATCCGCCCCTCTCTGGTGAAAATCCAGTTCGGCTGTGGATTCGTCCATGGCTAGCGATCGGTTTGACGCACGTGATGAATCGCCTAGAATCAGTATATGCTATGGATGTTCTTTCGAGATTAACCTGAGTAGTTCAGTGCTTCTGCAGCAGCGCACAGTATGGAAGTAAAACAAGAAAAAACGAGAAAAAAATTGGTGAAGTGCTCTTCGATGTAGACCATTATTCACGGATTCTGTATCAGTGAGTGAGTTCGACATTGTGTCCAAATCTGTGAAAAATGGCAGCTACATGAGAAAACGTGGCGCACGAGAGCGCGTGATTTTTTAAGCCACGATGAACCGAACTCACTCTCCCTTATGACCCTTGGAAGGTCCCTCATTCCCAGAATTCGTCGACAGTTTTCACACACTAAATGTGATTATCTTGCTGGACAGACTCCGAAAGAACTTGATTTTTTGTCAAAAAGTAGCCGTCATATAGATTAGTCTGCTAACATAAGTATGCGATTGTTTGAGAATACTGGCAATTCATCTCATGTTTAAGGAATACTTCCTTGAATGCAGCGTGGAGAAAGAGCGCTTTTGCACGGTTTGAAGTGTTATACTGGAGCATGGCTATCACATCTAGGAACGTCTGCACTTATCGCCTTCATCCTTTGTCTGTACTATAACTGGGTGCTGCTCCGCCGAATTCGGTCGACAATGTTTTGAAGCAGCTGGCATCCCTGCCAGTTCGTTCTCAAAGAGGTACTTAGCTTATAGTGAGCATCGTGTGTTTTGCGACTATGTGGGTTAGAGTGCAGACGCAGGCTCTACTGCAAGTATTCATATCTCCAGGAATGGCTTCGGCCAGGTCAAAGCTTTCTCAAGGAAACTGAGAATTTGGTTGGAAGATGTACACCAGTGGTCATAGAGTGGGTATGATCATAGAAGAAAGGCAAGTAGACATCTGAGCGCAAATTATCATACTAGGTAATGGGTGCAAATGAAACCGTTTTGCTTTTCATTTAGTACTGAAATAGTCTAGGCGAGGAACGTCTGTATCATTTTATATGTATGTTTGTAAGTGTGACAGTAAGTCAAAGGCTTACGGCGCTCTTCTTCAAGCTGAGACGGAAACTGAGCCATCTCGTCTTCTGTGTAAACGGAATGAATGAAAAATTCGAGGCCCGACGAGTCGATGTCGCCGATGGCCACCTGAAAAAAGGCAGCGAAGCGTATCAGATCCAGTAGGCATAATTTCGGTAGCCGTTCCTTTAAGGATTTCGAATGAACAAACCTCTCGCAGGCGTCCCTCCTGCTTTCCCATAGCAGCTACGGTAGCCTCGACGTGTCGCTGGTAAAACCCGGGTGCTCGCGCACGCAGAATACATTCGTGCGCAGGAAGCTTACGCCCGTCGGCGGCAACCAATAGTAAATCTGCACTCTCCATGTTGCCAACCTGTGGAAAATACTTCATTGGCACAGTCATTTTTGCAAG